CACCGTGACCAGATCCTCCGTCTGCTTCTTTTACGCAGAGGAGGTTGTCTTTAGCACCCAAGCTTCAGCCATCATCTTATGGATGGTCTTGAAGTCAGGCTTCAGGGGCCTCTTCTTGTTAAAGTTATCTGCAACAAAGAATAAAATCAGCTAAGTATGAACGCTTCAACAATAAACTGTGAGGATGTGACCTCTACACTCACCCTGGGAGGCCATCAAATCGTGCTCCACGAAATGGAGATTCTTCCTTATCAGCTCGTGGTAAGACCTTCTCTTCGGGAGAAGCTGATAGTCTTCTATAGACAACTCACACTGAGGAAGTGTACCTGCATGAAATACGCAGTTAAATTTGGAACTCGAAGTGGCAGGTATGCAAGTAAATTTGAAGTTTCAGTACTCACTTAGAGTTGAGTATTTTGTTAGTGCTGTCATGGGCGCTAGGGGGTCCCCCTCCATCGTATCCCACCTCTCTGAAGCCCAGCACCACAAACTCTTTCAATCTTTTATGGAGCTCGACAAGTCGAGAACAAATGGAGTATGGGTCCCCCAGGAGATTAAGTAATACCACCCCTTTGTTTTGCCCCCCCCCCCCCCCCCTGGTATGGGTCCCCCAGGAGATTAAGTAATACCACCCCTTTGTTTTGCCCCCCCCCCCAGCTGTGACCTTAGGTATATACAGGGTCTGGAAGACGGAGAAGGGCATTTCCTCCCAGTAAGACACCTCCTTCCACAACATCCATGAACTCACCATTTGGCTCCAGGAGTTCGGATTTAACTGGGTAGGGGCTAAGCCATAAGACCTCAATACGTACCTAAAGAAGGGGTGGATTGGTAGTTTGAGCCCCGCCCTAAGTATGGTTTCGCTAACCGCCACACACCCCGGCCTGGGGTAGCAAGCTCGCTTATCTGGCCCCGGTAATATAAGACCTACATTATCCAGAATCCTATTCTCAGTCCTAAGTCTAGCCAGGTTGGTTGACTTCAATTTGGAAGGATAGTCGCATGCCTCTCAATGAACCCAAGTACCTACCGGGCTATCTGGCCGTCTCCAGATATTCTCCCCCCTTAATCACCTCGAAAATTTCAGTCGAAATGACCAAAATGGGCTCATCTACCCTGACAACCTCAAGGTCCCCTCCAAAACGTCCCCTACCCTCACAGGCCATATTTTTTCAGAAAAAGTTATGGAAACTCAGAAATACTTATGGGACTCGACCAGAATGGATGTCCTAACGCCGAGAAACAAAAATGTCATCGGGAAAAGCTTGAAACTCGTCGAAAATCGCCAACAATTCGAAAAACAAAGGGAATTCTGAGTTTGCAAAGGTAAAATGTTGAAATGGCAATAAGTTCCCCTTTTATAGGAGACCTCGGATGATCCCTGCCGTTGAATTCAAACGGATGTCAATCTGGACCGTTGATCTCATCATAAATTTGGATCGTAGAAATGAAACGTCAGATTGGATCAACGCCCAAGATTTGACTGTGCCCCTCACGTACACGTAAAATGCGTCGCCTCTAACAAACAGCACCCGTCAACAATAAGTAGTCGCAGCAACCCCTTTTTCTGGGGATAGGCATCACATCCAACTAGGGGTGGGCGCGGGTCGGTTCTAAAGAGAACTGAACCGAACCAAAATTTTCGGGTATCTAATAAATGGAACCGTCGGGTCCAAATATAATTATGAAATCGTTCGGGTTCGGTTCTGTTCAGTTCGGTTCGGTTCCCTTCGGTTCTGTACTATAATTAAATTTTTTAATATTTATAACAACATTATATAAATACAACTAATGATACATTCAATGGTTTTGAAATGTTCGAGACTAGTAGACTACCTTGTTCAAATGATCGCTATGGTCAAAATTTCAGTCGGCGGAGGTCACAGCGTCGGTCGACGACTATATAGGTTTTCGAATGTTAGCAAGGCTGCCAGAGTGAGTGCGAGGGTCGAGACAACGTTATGCACTTTAGTGTAGGTGTTTAGGGTTATTTAGTGGATTGGATCTTGTTGAGCTAAAAAATTAAACAATAAAATGGGTAATTGGGCCAAAAATTAAAAAATTAAAAATGAAACAAATTATTGGGCCAAAAATTTGGATCTAAAAATTGTTAATTTGTTTAGAAAAAATTAAAATTAAAATAATTTGATTTACTCAATATAAAAAAAATTAGAAAGATTCAGTTCTTATTCGGTTCTTGGTCTAGAACCGAGAACCGAATCGTACCCGTCAGTTCTCAATTTAGATACCCGTTCGGGTATTTAATTTGACAAGAACCGTCGGGTTCGGTCGATTCGATTCGGGAGATTTGCCAAGCCCTACATCCAATTGTCGTCTTGGAAATACGCGATAGCTATCACATCGATTAGCATCATAACGACATCTCAGATCGGAGATAATCTATCCCAATTCGCCTCAGATGAATGCACTCCTCAGCTTTACAAGCTTCGGTGCAACTGACGCGGAGTCCCCTGTGGGTCACCGCCTCGGTCACACATTTTCTTAGCTTTACAAGCCTTTAGTCATCCCCCAACGCGTCGTCCCCTGTGGGTCAATGCACAATTGGCAGATGAGCTCTTTACCCAGATTTACAAGCCTCGGCACAACCGACGTGGAGTCCCCTTTGGGTCACCGTCTCGATCGCACATTTCCTCAGCTTCACAAGGCTTTAGCCATCCCCCAACGCGTCATCCCCTGTGGGTCAGTGCACCGGAGGCAGATAAGCTTCGAGGCCACTGACGTGGGGTCCCCTGTGGGTCACCACCTCGGTCGCACGGCTCAGCTTTACCATGCGTTAGCCATCTTCCAATGCACCGACCTTAATGTGCCAGTGCACCAGTGGCGGATGAGCTCTTCACCTAACTTTACAAGCTTCGGCGCAACTGATTGACGCCCTATCCACATCCTGTCATCACTCTGTCTTCGTCAATAGCTATCCAGCACATCTTCTTACTTCATCTTTTCACATCAGCACTTCATTAGAATCCTCAAAACTTAAGGCTGACATACACATTCGGGAAAACAAGTCCACCCATGATATGAATATTCATACCTGAACTTTGGGGGAACCACTGTTACGCCCCTAACTAAACCACTTCGGCAACAGTCACAATACTCTCCGAAGTGACGTGTGTACATCCGAAGTGATACCAACTCCTGACGACCTGAATATGGCACGTTGCAAGGTGAAGAGTAGATCCAATGAAGCAATCGAAGTGCCCCTCACGCCGAAGCGTTTAAGGATACGAGGCATTCTCTTAACAAATCTCTCTGTCGCCACTGTCAGAAAGATATCGTCAGGATCTTGATGTGATGTCTCCATGGGTCTAGTTGAAATGACATATCGACTTTATGTCAACTCAACTCAGAAGAACTAATTGCCCGCCCACACTAGACGCGGCTGATTGACGGCTATAAGCAGACGCCTCAAACCGTCAGATGCATACACGTGTCCCACATCCAACGGTGCTCTACATCTATAAATACTCAAGGTTTAGCAAGAGAGAGAGGTAATGAAACTCTTATAACTTAGCTTTTCATACCAAGAATTATATATTTTCCTCCCCACTCTCTTGTATAACTTGAGCACTATTCCGATCACCCAACACTGACTTAACCGTCGGAGTATATATAGTCGTCACCATCACCGTTGGTTCCAGCCGTGTGCTTCTGACCGTGTGTTGTTGTGCACGGGGAGGATTACGTAGAGTATCTATCTGTTGGCCACGTGGAAGGTCCAATTCCCTAGGTCAACAGTTTTCATTTTTTAACTTTCAATCAAAGGAAAAAATATTTTGTGGAACTTACGTATTTATTGTTTATCTTATTTATATAAAAATACAAAAGACAAATAAGTCTTTTTATTCTATCGTAAATGAACTTTTAGATCGTCATCAAGAATAAGATGTTCTAATAATAAAACAAGGTTGACACTAAAATACGACAAAAAATTTGGGTACAAAAGTGCGAAAAAGGGGAAAAGTTAAATAACATAATTTCTTTTAATTCATTTTCAACTTCACATTCTCCATAACAATTATTCATGTTTCTCCATAATTTTCCCCTTCTTTTTAACCAAATAATTTTTAAATAATCATTTCCGCTGAAGCTTATTTGAGCCCCATTTTATTATAAATAAATTTTGTAATATTGATTTTTTTTTTTGGAGAATATATAATTAAAGATTAAGGAAAATTTTTGGGTTCACGTATAAAATTATTTTATTGAAAGTAGTATAGGTAATGTTTGGTTTTGATATTTTTAATAAAAGTTGATAAAAATTATCAACTCTGTAAAATGCGTAGTTAAAAGAAAAATTAAACGAAGGTCAAACCTGTTAACAGTGTGATGCTTTCAACGTCAAGGAGAAGACTATTGGAATAGGAAGGCTCTTATCGACTCTTGGGTATGGCCTAATACTCTGTAACTGGGATTGCCAATGAGATTCAAAGACACCATGCTCTAGAATTTGATAATTGTCCAACACCTCTTAAGCCCATGTTTGATAAAAGCTTTTTAAAAGATTATAAGCTTCATTTTTAATAGCAATTTTTTGAATCCACAACTTTTATATTTTAATTAAATACACATTTCATGATATTTACAAACATACAGTAATAGGGATTTACAAAAAAGTGTACTTTTCAAACTATGATTTAAACGATATATACACGCGGCCTTATTTAGATCAAGTGGTTCAGTAAAACTCACAACCTATCACGTAAATAATTGAGTTTTTCTTTTTTTCTTTTTTAAAAATAAAATTTGACCATAAGGAGCATTTCTAGCAAATATTTCGGATTTATACAAATATAGCATATCGTCAACAGTTTGTAATAAATAATTCACACAAAAAAACAATTCCATACCCTTGTTTGTTGGGAATTAGGACTCAAATTTTTATCAAAATTAATAATTAATTTAAGAATTCATAACTTTTTAATCATACATTTCATCAAAATTTATTAAAATATTCTACTAATCTTATTTTAATCCTCATCAAACATGACTTTTTTATTTTATTTTTTTGGGTAACTAAATAGACGTAATAACGTACTACGCCGGTATCATTACTAGTCACATAAAAATAATGTAAATAGCATAGCCGGTAGGTCTTTAACTAAAATATACTCGTGCTAGCTCATTACAAAGACCAGCGGTTTATCAGTTAAACCACTTCAATGAACTCCTAAAGATTAAACTGATGCTGACCACAAAAAATCCTACAGAATATCCCAAACCAAAGGGAATGGTGTACAATGAAGTTGCTGACTCTTCCTCCTCCGGTTCATCTTGACCTCCGGAGCTTGCTGGAGGGCAAATTTTTTGCAGTACAGAACCACAAAGTTTAGGATTCCCCTCAAATGAAGTGTTTGTGAATGTATCAAATTGACCACCCTGTGGAATCTCTCCTTCTAAATCATTGTTTGCCACAGTGAAAGAAGATAAGAAATGGAGTTTTTTCAGAGATTCGGGGATCTCGCCGGTGAGATGGTTCCCCGACATGTCCAATTTCTCTAAATTGACAAGATGGGATAATTCACTTGGAATGCTTCCAATGAAGTCGTTATCGTTGAGATCCAGTTCTCTAAGAAGTCTCAAGTTTCCTAATTCTGCCGGAATATTCCCACTCAGACTGTTATTCCCAACTTTGATTCCCCTTGGCAAGTTGAATAGTCGATTATACTGGAGACTGTCGAATAAGAAAGGCAATGCTAAATTACTCAAGTTTGAGTCCGTATCATCTGAAACTAAAGCTTTTAGGTTGCCAATTTCACGAGGAAGTTCTCCGGTGAGGTGATTTCGAGTGATGTTTAGTACAAAAAGGCTAGGCATACTCCCCAGCCATTTTGGAATGGTGCCTGTAATTTGATTGTACGACAGATTCAGCACTTTGAGTTTCTTTAATTTTCCAATCCAAGAAGGCACTTCACCTTTGAGTTTGCATCCTCCCAGAGTGAGAATTTGTAGATTTTGAAACCCATTTAGATTTAATAAATGTTCATCGTTTGGCACCGGTTCATCATTGAAGCACCTTGACAGGAAGAGAACTGAAAGATTATCGCAGCGTATAAGAATCTGTAGAGCTCCAACAACGTTAGATAGGAAATTGTCGGAAAGTGAGAGATGGGATAAAGATTTTAGGCCAGCCATGCAAGCTGGGATTTCGCCAGTCAACTGGTTATACGCGAGTCGAACTGCAGTCAGCGATCTACACAAGCACAGGCTAACTGGAATGTTTCCCACAAAGCTATTGTTCCCAAAATCAATTGCTTCCAGTTTCCGAAGTGGGGAAAAATCAAGACTCGTAATTTCTCCTCCTAAATGATTATTTCGCAAAAGCAAAGTTTTCAGGCTAGTGCAATTCATCAATGATGGAGGCACAGAACCATTTAGGCTGTTGGTGTGAAGAATCAGTTGGTTCAAATTTGACAGCAACCCAATATCTTTAGGAACCTCACCAATCAATCCATTCTGATGGAGATCTAGAATGCTAAGATTTGAGAGAAGAGCTATGCTATTGTTGATAGGTCCTGTAAACTGGTTGTTACCTAAAAAGATTTCTACGAGTGTTTTCACGCTGTAAAGATCATATGGAAGCCATCCTGAGAGAGAATTAAGACCAGCCCTAAAAACTTCCAGCTTAGAACATCTTCCAATTCCTTGTGATATATTGCCACTGAATTTGTTCATGGAGAAATCCAATATCTTCACAAAACTGGAGATGATGCAAATAGAGGAAGGAAGTGGACAGGTAAAACTGTTGTTACTAACGTTGAAACTAATCAAACGCGGCGCACCGCGGAAAAAAGGAGACTCGACCGACCCATTAAACTGATTACTCGATAGATCTATGGTTCGAATTGAAACAGGTAAGCTGTAATTCGGTAACCCAGACAGAAGATTATAACTCAAATCAATCGATTCCAAATGATTCAAAGTTTGAAAAAGTGTGAAAGGAAAAGAGCCAGATAACCGATTGTGGGACAAATTAAGGTGAGATAGAAACGTGAGATTC